CTTAGAAACTATAATATGTTGAGGTTATTTTGATTTACCAACTAAATTAATTATTTATGTTAGGTTAAATTTTTATGAAGTTCGTCAATTCAATATCGGTAAATGGCAAATTCGATTAATTCAATTTATGAACTCAGACACCGAATTGACAAAAGCGTACCCCTAATGTTGAAAATCTTAAAGTTTTCCTCTGTGGAAAGTCCGTCTCTTCCTTAAGAGTTCTTAAGTTCCATCTTTTTGGATTTTGTTTCTTCTTGATTCCTTCTATGTCTTTGTTGTCATCCTTCCTTTGTTGTTTTCTCTTCCTTCGTTCTTTTAACTCAGTCCTGTGAATATTCGAGTTTTGGGGTTGTTGAAGATCTAGGGGAGGTTTTTAGGGTTTGGGTGTTTTTGGGGGTTTTTATCCGAGACTTCCATTTTTTTCAGGTCTGTGCGGCAATCGATCATTTGTAGCCTTAGTGAGATTTAAAGATTCCCGAGGAACATGGAGCATGAGGTCATAGATAAAATGAATAGATTCGCATAATCAGAAAAAAAGAGGGCAGGAGTAACCCTAGCAACAACCGACATTGAGCCGGGTATCCATGAGTGATAACTCAGCCTCATTGATACGATTATAGGAGACAAAAAAGCTAACCTCAGTGGGATAAAGGCTACAATGGGAGTTATATGGAGGCTTAGTATGCCATTCTCCGTTCGAGCATTGAGTCTGAACTCTTTCCAGTTCCTTTTTCAATCAGACGAAGATAAAGCCAAAGTCTTTAAATGACCTTGGTTTGGCCTCGGTAGCCAACCCCTCTATCCACCACTAGAAAATGAAGAGCAACTAGGTGGAATTTGACGGAATTGCCCCGAAAAGGAAGAAAACAGGTTGTCACCCTAACCAGAAGAATCATCGGGGATTTGCCACAACAGAGGAACACCGGGAAGACGACCACTGCAACCCTATCCTAGCACATGAAGCACGGTGAATACCTGTTCAAAGGCTGGCTCCGCCTTCGCCCGTGAGAGAACATCACATCTCGCCGGCAATCCTCCAAGAAAACGGGCCATAAGGACCAAGGCCGCTGCCACCGAGAACCTCGGAGAGCCCCGGCGGGGGGGAGGGGGGGGAGGGAGGGATGGGGTGGCGCCTGAATCGACGGGAGTTGAATGGCGATGAAAAGGGGATCTTTGCATAGGAGTGTGATGAAAAGAGAGTTTTTACAACTATTATTTTCAGGTTGTAATGAGTTTTTCTATAACAATCAATAATGCTAGAAATATGAAAAGGTGTTTAATTTTTCATTTAAAACTAATAAAAATAAAAAAAGGTTAGATTCTACCACCAAAATTGATAAGAATATGTATATTTTTCCTTACTATTTTCCTCTTGTTCTTTTGTGTGCTCCAAAAAGTACTGTTTCATAATTTGTATATTTTTTTTTTATTAATGAGTTATTAAGATTATTTTTTAAGTAATATATAACTCATAATAATTTTTGTTTTCTTTTTTTAGTGTTGGCCTAGGTCCACACTAAACTCCATTTAGATACGCCCCTGGTGAATTGGACCTTTTGGGTGGTGAGTTGGACCTTGAAAGCAACCTCCGAGTTGAGCTGGGTCAGCCCAGCCGAGTCGAGCTGAGGGATTAAGGAGAGCCTCAAAAGAGCTATGTCTGAGGTGTTGTAATCTCCCACTCGAAATCAATCATTTAGGACACTGTAGGACGAGCCCGGTGGAACTATGTATTTGCCTGGAATAAGGTTTTCGGGCCCCCTTGATCCGGACCAGTAACCATCAACTCTTGTTAGGATGACCCAATCATAGGTGAAATTGTTCTCTTCATGGTAAGCTTTGATCATTTTAAGGCAGCCCTCTACCAGATTGAAATACTGCAACAAGCCCTGCAGCAAAGTATGATTAGTGGATGAAATTACCAATTCTCCCTCAGATAAAGTGGGTATAATTAATTAATTACAAAAAAAAAAGGTATACTAGTCTTAGAGGATTAACATTGCAAGACATTGGTTTTAACAATAGACTTTTTCTCTTTTTATAATCAAATTTACAGTAAATGGTATAATCGGTGTTCCATATGTATGAGGCGTACGAGGTAGTCATTATATTTTTTTCCCTGTACCCTAAATGTAGAGTTGAGATTGATATTTTGATTAATCTAATGGTTAGATAAGAGATACCTATAATTAGTTTTTAATAAAAGGTTTGTGATGATAGAGGGTCACAACTATGATTTTGTACCAATCAAAGCAAGGTAAATCATGATGGCTTGCAAATTATATATTTTTCGAATCAAAATTAACTTTTTGTGCAAATGTTTTTGTTCATTAACTAGAACATAAGTATTTTACTTATGGCATGCGTGTAGCGTCAATTGGAATCGTTCTTTGAGATTTCTGTTCATTACATCTATCGGTCTAGATTTAGTTTTCATATTCTTCATGATTGAAAAAGCAAAAGCGAACCCATTTACAGAAACAACGTTAATTCAACATAAATAAAAGTTGACAAATGACAGAAAAAATTAATTCAACATAAATATAATGCACAATTCTTTTTTTTTTTTTTTTTTT